TCATTCTTGTACTAATCTCACTCTTCTTGTATATTGCCCTCCCCTTCACTGGAGATAATGTGTGTCTGCCCTCTAACCAGTGGATTACTCTCACTTCCCTTCCACTTCTGGTAACCATCAAAGAGTGTTTCTTTGAACATGAAAACCATTCTTGAATTTTTACTATAGTGGTCTCATATGATATTTTGAGACTGACAATTCATTCAGGAGTCCTGGTGTAGCACTGTAGGATAAGCACTGGACCACAAGATTGGTTTGATCTGCAAGGTCAGTGGTTCAAACCCACCAGCTGCTTCTCAGAATCCTATACAGGATGGCTATGTGTCAGAACCGACTTAATGGCACTTAACAACAACAAATTTCACTTAGCATACTGTCCTCAAGGTTCATCCATGTTATGAGGTGTTTCTCAGATTCATCATTATTCTTCACCATTGCAGTGTGTATGTACCAACGTTTATCCATTCTTCATTGATAGACATCTAGGTTGTCTTGATCTTTTTGCTATTGTAAATAGTGCTGCAATGAACATCAGTGTACATACATCTACTCATGTCCTGGCTCTTACTTCTTGTGGCTAGATTCCAAGTAGAGGGATTACTAGATCATATGCTACTTCTATTTCCAACTTATTGAGGAAGCAGCATACCGTTTCCCACAGTGGTTGCGCCATTTTACAGTTACACCAGAATGTAGGAGGATCCCAGTCTCTTCACACCCTCGCCAGCATTTGTTGTTTTCTGCTTTTTTAAACTTTGTTACTAATGCTGGAGTGAGATGATATCTCATTGTTGCTTTGATTTGTATCTCTCTGTGTGTGGCGCTGTGGGTTAATGTACCAGACTGCAAAGCCGTTTGAACTCAAAGGTTGGCAGTTCAAGCTCACCAGCTGCTCCTCAGAAATCCTATACACAGGGTCACTATGGATTGGAACCAACTCCACAGCACTTAACAACAACAACAATAGTTAATGATTGCAAACCATATATTTGTTGGCTGCCTGAATGGTTTTTTTGTGGGTGTGTGAAGTGTCTGTCATGTCTTTTGCCTATTTTTTAATGGAGTTGTTTGTCTTTTTCTTAGAGAAGTATAATTTTCTATAAATTTTAGAGTTTAAAACTTGTATGATATGTCATTGCAATTTTTTTCTCAGTCTGTGGGCTCTCTTTTTACTCTTTTTGTGAAATCGTTTTAAGCACATCGTGTTTACTTTTTAGCGAGCCGCAGTCATCTGTTTTCTCTCCCATTGTTTGTGTGTTTTTATTAATGTTTAACAGTGTATTTCTGCATTAGATTTGAAAATGGCTTGCCAATTTTATTAATCATTTCAAAGAAGCAACTTCCTGTGTGTTGATTTCTTTCTATTGTTTTCTCTTTTCTAATTAATTTATTTGTGCTATAATCTTTATTACTTCTTTCCTTCTGGTGACTGTAGGCTTACTTTGCTGTTCTTTTTCTAATTATTTCTAATGATTTTCATTCTTTCATCTCTTTGAATTTGTGCATTTAGTGCTCTAAACTGTGCTTTAAGTACTGCTTTTCCTGTTTCCCAGAGGTTTTAGTATATTGTGTTTTTGTTCTCATTTGAGTAAAGGAATGTTTTTATCGTTTTTTAATTTGTTCTATTACCCAGCATCTTTTAAGCAGTGTGCTACTCAATGTGCATGTATTTGATTTTTCCCTTGATCTTCCTATTGTTGACTTCTAATTTTATATCATTGTGATCTGAAAAGATGCTTTGTAGTATTT